GTTACATGATGACTCACTGAAGAAACATTTTGTAAGTGTTTCTAATGACACATCAAATAGAAGAGTAGTAAAACTATCACCATAGCATATTAGCATAGGGTGGAGCCATATGTATCCCCATGGTAGTGCCTGTTAATTGTAAAAAATGATCAGTCAAAAATTGAAAGTTGCTGTGGGTTAGGATTGTTTCTAATATAATTTCAATAAAAGCAATAGGCGGGCGTTTAATGGGTCCGTTAAACGGCGGTGCTCTCTTTAAATAAAATTTCACGGCGTCAATACCTTCGCAATGAGGAATGTTTGTATACAAAGATATAACATCAGACGTGACAAAAATGTATCAAAGTTGTTAGGTCCTTTTTATCTCTGGAAGGTGTCAAAGTAAAACTTCTGGATTTTGAATCTGCTGATGGTGATACATCTAAAATATTGACTGATAAGTTAATTTCAACATTGCAGCGTCATGAAGTTAATAACAAAATAGCTGGTTTTTGTTCTGACAAATGCAACACAAATTTTGGTGGAGTACATTGAAAAGGTAAAAATAATATTTACAACACGCTTAAAAAAGAACTTAGTGTTAATAATATTGTCCACATATTGTGCAAAATACACTTTAACCTTCTGTGGCTTCCAATTGAACCTGAAGCTCTCGTTTTAAAAATGTACAAGTATTTTGATGTTTAAACAGTTCGAGTAACTGAGTTAAAGGAATTTTGTGATTTTATAAATGTGGAATATAGAAAAATTATCCAGCATAGAAGTACTAGATTTTTTTCTCTGTTAACCGCAGTTGAAATAATTTTGTATATGTTTGAGGCACTGAAGTCATAATTTGTTTCTCAAGAAAATTGTCTACGTGTTTTGCAAGCATTTTTTTAAAGTAAAACAGATGAGTTATATTTCTGGTTTGTACATGGTCAGCTAAATAATTTTAACAAAACTGTATTAGTTATGGAAAAAAGTCAATAAAATGCAACAGACATTATTTTGGAAATAAAAAAATTAAAATCTAACCTTGAGGAAAAAATGAATAGTAATTTTGTCCCACAAGGAGCAAAACAATTGCTTAGAAAATTTAGTACCCAGGGTGTTAATACATTTACAACTGAGGTATATTCCTTTTATAAACAATGTATCTTTTATATTGAACAGTTGGAAAATAGTTTTGGTGGGGCACGTACTAAAGTGGGAGAATATTAAACAATCGGCTGAAGCCAATTTATGCCAACATTTATGGTTCAGATAATAAACAAAAATTTTTTTTAACAATCATTTTGATGAGATGTCAATTGCAAAAATATTTTTTGAATCAAAAATGAAGAATGGAGTTTATTAAAAATCCAAATCGCTTATGTTGACAAATGGATTAAACTATTCAAGCATTTTCAATAAAAAGACATTGGTGCAATAAAAAGACATATTAGGACAAAAAACCACTATTTTTCTCTTCCTCCTATTTCTGTGGTCATTTATTTCAGTATTTTATTTTGCAAATGTTACCCCTTCCCTCTCCCCTCACACACATACACCGATACCTTTTTCTACACAACCCCCTCTTTCCGACGACGCAACCCCTTTACAATTTCAAAATTATGGTAAGCCTATATATAGCAATGTTACCTTCATTTTATATAGGATAAGATTTTATGAGATTAATAAAATAAGATTTTATGTTATATTAATAATATAATAACATATTTATATATATAATTTAAATACCTTAAGTTTAATTTAATTATTAAAATAACATCTTATCTATTAAGTTTAATTTAATTATTAAAATAGCATCTTAATCGTTGTCAGAAAGATGTTACATCAATATTTATTTATAATATCACATCATGATCCATACAATTTAAATATATTTAGGTCCTATTTTATGCTGTTATACTACAATTATAAGATAATAGATTGATCATATTATTATACAAAAATATTATGATATTATAATACACGATGTTTTATAATTAATTATAATAAAGCTAATATATCTGAATATTAAGATGTTATTAAGTTAAAAAATTGTTAAATTATTATGATACATTTATATTTGTGTTAATATCTATGATTATTGTTGATTTTCTTATAATATATACAACTTTTATTATAATTGTATATATTATAATTTATAATAAAAAAAACAATATATGAATCATTATAATATTACGCCATTTCTAATATTTAGTGATTTTAACGCTAAAGTTTAAGCAGCTCATAGCTAACGTAACTTTTCTTGTTTAAATTGAACTGAGCAAGTGTTTGAAAAGTTAGGCGAATACCATTTCAGCTTGGTGACTACCAATTTTTTTGCGTTGAACTTACAAAAAAACTTACGTAAGTTTTGTTAAACGGCCTGCGCAAGTTTTGTGAATACGAATTTCACTGTTTTGAACTTACGTCAAACTTACGTCAAACTTACGCCAAACTTACGCAAAAAAAAAAAATTTGCTGAATACGCTCCCTGATCTTGATTTGAAATTAATGCTACCATAAGGTTAATCATAAATATATTTGCGTCTTGAACAGCCGTAGCACAGTGGTTAGCGTGCTTGCCTTAGAAGCTGGAGATCCGTGGTTCAACACCACCTCTGGACAAGTTTTATAAAATTGGTAAAAAAGGAGGTGTGAACTTTATTTCATTTGCTCTTCCGCGGTGCTCTGTGATAAGACCGTAAGGACTTCTTGGGGCACATATCATAGATTTTTAGGGCAAAAAAAAATCAAAAAGTATTTAGACACCCCTTTTTTATTTGTAGGGCAACGTGAGTAACTGCAACTATTTTTGCTGGTAATTTTCTATTTTATTTTTGCTTAAAATCTATGAAATTTGATAAAATTGAGATTTTTTCTTATTCTTTTGAGGTTGCTGTTTAATTTAAGAAAATTAAGTGAACTAAATCTTTTTTTTTTTTCACATTAAATCATGGAAACAGAAACTCCAGTATACTTGTGAAAATGGTTTTATTAGGAAAATGGTTTGAAACTTGTTTCATTCTTGCTTCATGAATAGTTTAATTAGTAAATATTTGTGGTGTTTGTACAATTTTTGAACAATAATGTTGTAGCACTTTTGTATAAACCTTCATGTGCAAGAGCAAGATGAATTTGAATAAAACCATCTTGTCTTGAACAAGTGTTTTTACGGCACATATCACTTTTTTAATAATATCTGCAAAATTTAAAACTACGATTTCAACTTAATATTAAATACAATGCAAACCATTTCAATATTGCTAAACGACAACGGAAATCGTTACAGATAATCAAGAAATCCAAGATATTAAGTTACTCTCCTTTAGAGGCCATAACTTCTGTGTCAATAGATATGTAGTCTTAATATTTTGGAACTTGAACCGTTTTCCGGTTTTTAATTTTTTTCCCAACCGTTCAAGATAATTAACCGTACATAATTTGTTTAGTTTTAGCTGTAGTTTGATTTTAATAGTTATATAGTAAGACTTTTTTCAACAATATAATCAAGTTGAAAAACTTTTATTTAATTTTTTCGGGTACGTCCAACGACGTAGCGGACATCCCCTAGACACGCCCCTGCCAAACACTATAACATAACTTAAAAACTTAAAAAGATCAACATTGAGATACTCTAAAAGCGATATCTTAAAGCTGTCTGTAACGATAGTTACACAAAAACGTATTTTAAACATCGAAAGTTTCGAAACATGTAACATTATAGCTTTAAAAATAGTAGAAAGTCTGAAAAAAATGAAAAACACTGCAATCAAAATGTTGCTTAGAGTATTTAGTTGGTTAGAGCGTTGTTTAGATTATTTAGTTGGTTAGAGTGTTGGTTAGAGTATTCAGTTGGTTAGAACATTGGGCAAAAACACTTGGAAGTTTAATTGAAATTGATTTGATTTCATGAAATAATAATAATAAAATTGCAAATGATCATTTGCAGTTTTATTATTATTATTAGAAATGTTTTTGTGAGGTTTTTAGTTTAACTTGTGCAATTTTGAAATAACATGGATACAAAGTAATTTGCAAGAAAATTTGCAGATAAAAAAAATAATAATAAAAGAAAAAAGAAAAAAAGAAAAAAAAGATTAGGGGTTGTCCATAAATTACGTCACGCAACAAGAGGTAGGGGGGTTGGTGGTTTTGTAACGACTCATAAAAAACTTGCTAAAAAACTCATTAAAACTTGGTGGGGAGGATAAAAACGGTCAAAAATTGCGTGGTGTAATTTATGGACCACCCCTTAAGTAAAAACTTGTATTTTTTGTTTTAGAGTTGATTACTAATATTTGTAAAAATGTTGTTTAACAATTGCGCAGCATTAGGTTTAGTATGAAAACATTTTCTTGCGAATTTCACTTACCTTAACGTCTGTATTAAAGCTTATGTTGTAAAACAATTATGGCGAAAATGGAAACAAATGTTTCTAAAATATTAGTTGTACAAGATTTACATCTTTTGTGCGACATATTTACAACTATTAGAAACTAAACTTAAATTAAGGTTGTATTTTATATTAATACTTATCTAAAAAACTTAGTTGCAATTTGCTTATGTTTTTTGTGGCATTTTGCAAATAAATAATAATTCATTGTTAGGTTAAAACACTTGAAAAACTCAAATTGTATTTTGAATTTTATATTTTTATTTCTTTAATTTTTTTCTTCAGTATATTAAGTGCTTAAAATATATTTTTGGTTACCATAGTTATATGGTAACACGATCACGATATGGTAACAAGATAACATGAAAGGTTTTAAAAAATAAAAATTGTACTGAAAATTTTAACTTTTAGTTGAAACCAAAAATAGATTAAACTGAAAATACCCAAAAGTCGGTAGTTGAGTTGACTTTACTTATGAGGTAATGTGTATGATAACAAATTTTTGTTAGATAAAAAATATTAAAGGTTAAACAAATTTCCTATGATTATTTTATTATAAAAGGAAAAAAAATCGTGCGTGTGAAAATGTAATCTCTGACTTATAATTTATATATTTATATAATTTTTTAAAAGATTTAGTTAAAAGGTATGTATTTAATAACCTTTATATCTTTAACAAATATATTAAACATTTTGGGAAAAAAAAAGCTGTTTAATTGTTGCTATTTCTTTTTCTTTTCCCTTTTTTTTATATTTCTTTTTAGACTCCTGAATTTTCATTATAATGAAATGTTGCACCTTCATAAAATTCAATGTTTTCATTAAACACGGATTGAACATCTTCATTTATTGTTACGTTGTCTAAAGGCTCACCCAATGAAATGCTTAGATGGCTTGCACGAGAAGACCGCTCCAATGGCGAAGAAAACGAGACAGATCTTAAACGTTTTTTTTCAGTAACATTAGGTTTAAAAAGTGGATTAATATGCGATTGCAGCAAAGATTCAGATTTCGTAGATTCATCTGCCAGTATGTTTTTTGATTTGCTTAATGAATGACTGTGATATTCGTCACACAAAGACTTCACTTTAATGTTGTTTAACTTCGAAGGCGTTGTACTAAGAGAATTGCTTTCCATTTGTATAACTGAAGCTAAGTTATTTTGTATTGCTACAGGAGCCTGAAAACAAATTTTTTAAAACAGTTAATACTTTAATTTTAAAACAATAATGTAAAATTTAATATTATTATTTAAATACCTAAAAAAATTATTAAATAAAATTTAAATAACTAATTTAGCATTTATCGAATTTTTTTTTTGTCAAAATATATTTATATAAATATATAAATCAACTTATAATAGTAAATAGTTAAAAGCAAATTAATATTGCAATATGTGTTACTTAATCAAGTTTTAAATATTCCCGTATCCACGTAAGAAAAAAACTTGTAGCAACAGTTTTTTATAAATCAATTTCATGTAAATATTAACTTATCTAAAGATTAAAACGTTACTTTTTCACCTTTACCGCACCAATATAGGGGCGTTATACTGTATAAACTTCAGAGATATAGGTGTTGTAGGAAAAAATATTTGTATTAGAAAAATAAATATTATTTATAAAACTAAATAACTTATTTTTATTACCTTTCCTTCCCCCCCCCTCCTTTTTTTTTTTTTGATTCGTTGTAGATTTGACTCCCTCATAGAATAACTTTTCATAAAGCAACTCCTTAATAGAGTTAACCCTCTTTAGTGTTTATACCCTTATAGAATTAACCCTCTCATTGAGGGTTATTCTATGAGGATTGTTTTTAAATCTTTAAAAATTAGTAGCTCTATCAATTAAATAATTTCAAAACTAAAAAAATACTTTCAAAATAAAAACACATGTAACAATTTTTTTTATCCGACGATACTGTTAAAAATTACAAAAAAATCCTAAATTTACATAACTTGTAGGTGTTACTCATATAGTTACACATTTTTCATATAAATTACACCTATAAACATAAAAACCACAAACAAAGAAACAAAAAGAAAAAAAAAAGAAAGGCGTTTTTAATCTAAAAAGTAGAAATCCTAATGTAGATTCATGTATGTATATTTTTTCTAAATATAGCGATTATTTCTACTTTCACATAAGAGAAGTTGAAATAATAAACTTTATAAAAGTTATACTTTGAAACCACTTCACATGAAAAATAAACGAACTAAATAAAGCTTACTGTTACTGCATTATTTATTATATTATTGTTAACTTATTGTTACTGCCACGTTATTACTGCTTAGAACAAAAACATAGCTTATTATTTGAAGCAGTAATAATGTTGCTTTTTTTAAAAATTATACATTTTGTTATTTTTAGAAAAAATTTTATGATTCAACAAGACTCATGTTGATAACATTGGCATAACTGAAAGTGTTAATCTTATATGAATATTATTTTAATAAATAAATAAATAAATGAAACATGTTCTAAACGGAATATATCGGATCACAAAAGATCTCAGAAAATCTTCTATATTTAAGCAAAAACTATACATTAAATACTTGAAAACAAAAACACAAGAAAGTAAGATTCTTTACAAAAATTATGTCAGAAAGTTTGAAACACAAAGAAAGAATTAAAAAAAAACTGTACTACTCCAATCTACTTGAAATGAACAAAAATAATTCTAAACGCACCTGGAAAATTCTAAGAGAAGTTACTGGCACGCAAAAAACAAAAACATGCACACTGCCTGTAATCTTAAAAATTAATGATGAATTTTTGTCTAATCCAACAATGATATGTGATGAATTAAATAAATTCTTTGTATCAGTTGGCCCAAATCTTGCAAAAAAAAAATTCCTTTTATCATAAAGAAAATATGTAATTTCGATTTTTCTTAACTTTGTCTCTAATTTCCTTTGTACTATCTTTTGAAGAATTTGAGCAATCTTTTAAAATGCTTAAGTCTAATAAATCTTTCTCTGCAATGGAGTTATTTTTCATTCAGAAATAAGCTTAAAGAAATCATTTTGTCACATGATGGTATATTGTCATATTTTTAAACATTAAACATTATTAATTTGATACATTATTTTAGTTTGTTTATTCAGTTGAATATTTGTAAGAAGATGCACTTAAATGTGATTAACTATATATGCACTTGACTTTATATATATATTGAATTTTATGAAGTTTTAATTTATGAGCGGTTCTTGATGACAAGACCTTATGGTCTTGTGCGAGTCTCCGCGTTCTTTTTATATTAACAAAAAAGTCTTAGTTTTATCTTTTATTTATTTCTCATTGAGTAACGTTTTTAACAATCTAGTTGTAAATTTTTCTTAGCAGTCTAATTGTAAATTTTTCCTAACGATCTAATTGGAAATTAATTAATTTTTCTTTGAATATATTTTAATAAGAACAAAAAAAAAAAAAAAAAAATTACTGAGGCTCTAGGAACCTTACATTCCTAAAATTCAATTTCTGGGAAATTCAACTACGTAAAGCATCAAAAATCTCAAAACATTATATCGCCAACATTTGGTTGGAAGACTTTGGTAAAATATAGTAAGTAGTAATTTCATTGTCAAAAGAAGATATTTTTGAAAATTGTTTAAAAAGTTATCAAGTTGCTTACTTTATTTAATGACTTGTGATTAATATGTAAAGAATTTACTCAAAACAATAAACTGTGGTAATCTTTAAAACGTGCTCAAGTGAAACTAATCAAAGCCAAAATGATTACAATTTAAGTTTCTGGTTGAGACTAAAATTTAATCAATCATTTAAATTTGATTATTCATTTACTTTTCTAGTCAGAAAAAGTTTCTTGATGTACTGTTAGTTGATTTCTAAGCTTCCTTTTACCAACGGTATGATGTATAGATTTTAATCGAAAAATAAATCTTGGCCTTTCTAGTTTAAAATAAATGTTAAAAAATAAGTTTTGGTTCTTTTTGTAAGACTTTTTAAAAAAATCAGTCTCGGTTCATTTTTTAGGCTAAAAAAGGCAAGGATCAACCATCGTTCCTTGTTTTTTTTTTTTTTTTTTTTTTTTTTTAACTATTTCAAAGGAATAATAATATGATTCAATATAGGAAAATCAATGACCAACCCTTATTGCTGTGCATATGTCAACTTTTTATTCATTTCATTATTCAATTCTAGTCTGTTTTTTTAACTCGGTGTTTATTCAAATGGTCACTGCTTATCTTCTCAATACAAGTTCGGACCATTCAGCACAATCATATATACTGAATAAAATACTAGAAAATTTTGATAAGGATCACAGTTTGTTCAATGTATTTTAGTTTTCAAGGAATATCTTTAGAAATATCAATCTTGTGTTTAGAAATAATATATCTGTTACAATTTTTTACAATAGGTAATTAATCGTTTTTAAAAGCCTCATCAGTGTTAATCTCCTTACATGTTCTTCAATGCAATAAAAAATTTTCAATAAAATAATTAAAGACTCAATTTCATTTCATATTTAAGGTTTTAATGATTTATCTGTGGTAACACGTGTTTTTTGAATAAAGTGTGGACTTTGGTGCACACTATACAGATATACAAACATAATACCGATTATAAAGTATTGTTAAACTTATCAAACAATTTATTAGGTAAAACGTGATTATTAAAGGAGCTATTTAGTCTGGTGATCAACAAATAAATCAATCTGGTGTACAAATTGTTAAACCAAAGACACCTTTCTTTTAAATTAATTAACTTAAATTATTTCTATTTTAAATGTTTTTTAAAACAGTAACATTTTTAATAAATAAAAATCAAAAATAAATAAATCAACAAAACGTTTTTTAAAAAACTGCAAAATTACTTACAGTTTCCGAAACTTTAAAAATAGACTTTCTTCTTCTTCTAAACATAAAATTATCACTTTTTGAAAAATCTTTTATATTTAAATATTATTTTTGTAAGATATTAAAATATTTAAATCATCCGCGCGTATCCATGTTAATCTGATATAAAATGTTTGTAAAGCCTGTTTCAAAATGGGTCGTATTTGCATACATTAGTAAAATGTAAACTGTAAGCGATCAAACAAAAAATCTAAAGCGATCGAAACAAACAAGTGAATGGCATTTATAACTTAATTAACCAAATGCATTTTTGTTTTAAGCATAAACAAAAAAATGAAAATAGTAAATAGTAGTAAGAAAAAACAAAAATAGTAAATAGTAGTAAGAAAACCTAAATTGTGCTAAATTGTTCTGTTTAAAAGTTAAGGTGAGGAATCTAAAATTGATATTTAGAGTAGCGCATTTTGATTTGGCACTTTTAATTCACAAAAACAAAAAAATGCGTCAATGTTTTGTTAAAATATTTATCGTAATCCCATGTTTTTATTATTGCTAAGCTACTTTGTTCATCAAAGCTATTTAAATGAAAAAAGTTACATTGACTAAGGATTTCGGCTATGCCAAATTTTCTTTTTAATTTACAGAACTTTACTAAGTTACCTTTTATAAGAAAGAACGCAAATGAGAAGAAATACCAGTAGCAGTAGAAATACAGCCACACCTATGACAATTTCAACGACATAATTTTGTTCTAAGCTGATTGCATCATTTCTTGAGGGCATTTTAGTTGTATTTGGTACTAAAATTGATGTTGTTGGCATTGTAGCTAGTGTAGAATTAAGTTCTGGAAAGGATGAAATTAAAGTTGAAAAAGATGTTTTAAAAGTAGTTTGCATAGTTGACTTAATTATTTTTGTTGTTTCCGTCACAGGTGATAATGTAGTAGTGGGTTCCACTAAATCTGCAAGTGAATCTGGATTCAATGGATCTTAAGTCAGAAAAAAAAGTATAAACTCATACAAAAACATTCAAACGCATATCAAATTTAGGCTTAATAAAATTCACAAATTTTTAAATACTCACATTCTTGTAAACCTTCAAACTTTATAGTTATGCACTGTTGTTTGTTGTCACAATCAATAAATATTTTCAGAAACAATCCTTCTAGATGATTTGCAACCTTTAGCTCAATCTGTATTAGAGTGATATAAATTATGTGATCGTTTACACAGCTCAGAAATTTAAGGTTTAACTTTACTATCTAAGTACACCAAAAATGTTAATGATATAGTTAGTGGAACGTCTGGACACTTAATTTTCATATCTGGGAAAAATCTGGGAGGTCACATTTTTAAAAAACTAACATTGAAAATCTGCAGAAAAGTTATTTTTTTTCGTATTTAAAAAAAACTAAATATACTGACAGAATAATAAAGTTAACGATGATACTAAAATAGAACATATTAATAATATATAAGTAATAAGTAATTTTGTAGAATAGTAGTATTGCATGCACAGTTGTCTAATAACCTAATATATAAATAATAACAATATAATAAATGCTAAATAAAATATTTTAAATCTTTTATTCAAATATAATGTCTTTTTGAATGAATTTACAAATTTTTTTAACTTAAGATTTCAATGATGTTTGTGTTTTGATGTACAATTGATGTATGTTCAATAATTTATAAATTATTTGAACTGAACACTTCAGCAATTCTATAGCTTCTTTCTTTATGTTTCTTACTTTATGCTATACTGCGAAACTCCAAACCTGCTTGTTACACTTTTAAACTTGGAAACTTTATAACTTTGTGTAAAAATTAGCTATAAACTTGACCCAAGCTTTCAATTAAAATTAAATAGCCTGGGTCAAGTTTATAGCTAAAGACACCATGAACATTCTATTAAACTTTCTCATTGTTTCCATGAGAGGATACAGTTCAACAGGCATTACCAACTCAAGTTTGTTGCAACTGTTAAGTATCTCTCTACAGATGTTTTGTTCAAATGATCCTCCATGGCAAACTTTTTAAAGGCATCCAATGCTCTCGACCCAATATGTAAATTCAGACCAAAGATGCATTATAAGTTCTGCCACACGGTTAACAAATCCCATCAGAAGGTGAAGTTCTGGTAATGGAGCTTCTCCTATTATACTTACAGATTTGTCTTCTTTCTTCAGCAGACAAGAATTAATGACATTCTAAATATGTGGAAATGATAACTTTTTCATGCTTTTGAAAATGATAAATTTGTAATGAATGATAAATTTTGAAATTATTTACAAGAAACTCATTTATTTGTACCTTATATTCCTTAATTTTTTTACCGAAGATCCTGCAAATAAGTACAGTTTATAATAATCATTCAAAAATTAAAATGTTCTTAACTTTCCAGAAAATAATTCAGAAGAACCTTTGCAACTTGCACAAACATACTTTTCTCTATGAGCCTACAATTTTATATAATAATTCAATTTATAAATATATTGTTAGGCAAAAAAAAAAACTTTTCCTATTATAGTGTTTACCTAATATGTCTTATTATCTTAAAATTATTTAAAAATAGCATATCGAAATTCCTAGCAATATGTTGATTAACTTCATGTCAGAAACCAATGAGTACTAGCATTCATGCGACTTCAATATTTCTACTATCCTTGTCATGTCAGATTGATTCTCACTAAGCCTTTCACAATAAGCTAAAACAAGTGACGTATTTGCCTCTGAGTATGATCCTATGGAGCTGCTATCTTCTGCCCTGTGTTTGGTTGGATCAAACAGATTTACTATTAATTTCAATGATAGTACCAATAAATATATATCTTTATATATACACACATACATAATTGGATAAAATATGTAAAAATGATATTTCCAAAAATATGTTTTCAAAAAAACGATTACTAAAATATAAATATCTGAATAAACCCCAATCTTTACAAAAATTTGTTATACTTTTCCTTTTCTTGAAAGTCTAATAATTCAGCGACATATTAGTTCGAAAGTAGTTTACCTTTAGCAATTTGACAGAAGCATATTTTGCAAAGTTTCAGTGTTGAGCTAGTTCCCTTTTTCATACTTTTATTTAATAATCTATTTCTTCATTGACTGAGTATATTGTATAATATTGAGCAATCTCTAGAGGTTTGCAAGTTAAACAAACTTTTCTCTATTTTAGAGTAACTGTGCCTGCAGTAGTTTTACCAACCTTACAGAGATATAAGTTTTTCTTGCAACTTGGGTATAATCCTTTCACCAAATACTTTCAGTGAAAACTCAGAGTTTCAGAAAACTTGAACCAGACCTTCAAAATTTTTCTTAACTGGAATGCATTTGTTGTTCTTTTCAAGGCAGCAACAGCAGATGATCTTTTGAAAAAGTAAATGATCTCTTTAAAAATGACATTCTCTAATCTCCTTTGAGAGCAGAGGAGCCATAGATTTAATATATTATATCTTTATTAATATATGGGTATCTATATAATATTGTAGGTATAGGTATCTATAATAAAATGGAAAATAAAAAAACATAGTCAAAAATAAATATTTTTGTTACAAAATGCTTTTTTTGACCAACTTATAGTATTCTAATGATATTTACGTATAAATATTAGATTAAAGACCTTGAAAAGTTGGTATATGAATATTTTTTTTATATAAACTTCAACTTTCTGTAAATATGTTTATTTTTTTAAATTCGAAAAATTATCTTATTAGCAGATTTGCAATGTCAATTTTCTAATAATGTGATACCTCCCAGATTTTCCTAAATATGAAAATGTAGTGTCCAGATGCCAATCATTAACATTTTTGGGGTACTCGCAGTAAAGGATCAAGAATTCTTGGGGCCCGGGGCTATTTTTTTTGGAGGCCTTATTATGGGCCAGACCCTAAAAATGACTTAAAAAAAAAAAAAAAGTCCTTTAACATTTTTTAGGGCCCCTAAATTTGCGGAGCCCGGGGCTATAACCCTCTAGCCCCCTTGATCCGGCATTGGGTACTCGGATAGTAATCTTAAACTTTAAATTTTTGAGCTGTGTTTATTAAGCAATTATTTAATATAAATCAAATGTCATATAATATACTATGTAACATAGAATAAACAATTAACTTGGCAAAAATTACACATACACACACACAAATAAAAAAAACAAACATAATAAAACAAACAAGCATCTTATATATTTATTAAACAAATTATAAATAAATGAACAATATTGTGAAAGAAAACTAAACAATAACATACACATAAAAACATTCAACCTTTGAAAAGTCTTTAATTGATGCAAAAAATATTTTTTGAAGTTGATCGGAAAAAGATGGATTCCAAATCATTCCATTTTGGAAGTCCTGGTAAAAAATTGGTGCTAGGGTTGGTTCAGACAAGCATACAGCATCATCAGTTCCTGTAATGAGCGTCAAATTGTAAGAGGGCATCCCCGATAGCGTGTATATTCCTATTGGATTTCCTTCAACTAATAGATTACACCCTAATAAAGATTTAAAACTATTATAAAATAAAAAGTTATGTTTAAACAGCAAAAGTGGAAAAAAACATTTTAAATTCAGTTAAAGTCAGTTATTAGTTAAACACGATGAAATTCAGCTTCAATCTTTTTTTACATAATCTTATATTATTTTAGTTAGCTTTATTTATGTAAAAAATATATCTTCGATATGTTTTTTACATAAATAAAGCTAACTAAATTAATTTTTTCAATTATTTTTTAAAAATATATAGGAGTAATGTAAGGTGCACTTTTCAAACCACAGCAACAAATTGCTAGCCATAGATCTCAACAACCACGTCTTCTCAACGTTTTTTAACCTTTTTACTAAAAACCTATGTCAAAAATACGTCGGAAATAAAAAAACATGTAATTGCTGGAAAAGTAATTTGGAAACAAATTTCTTAGTTCAAATATATTTAAATTTACTGGCGACATAATTACCTATTGACTAGTAAAATATTCCTGTTCTTGCAATTGTAGACAGTCCTTCTTAAATAGATTTTACTTTCTTTATTTATGGACATATTTCTGGGATTAAAATTTATTTTGATTCTTTGAACGACAATGGATGGCTTTCAATTTTTCTTTTTTTGATATGTTTCTTGAGATTTAAGTACTTTTTTTCATCAAAACAATCTGTAACAGTTTTCTGGCAAGATCTCGTGTTTTACCTATATTGAGCTAGTGATTAATTTTGGTATATATTTTTATTTGATTAATTTTAACTGATTAATTTTGATATTTTTTTTTATAAATTTCCTAAAAACATTTTTTTTGCAGTGGTTTTTACTATAGAATATTTTCTTTGAGACTTCGTATAAGTAATGCATTGCAACGGCATTCATTCTGAATATTATCTAGAATGGTGCGCTGCTATTCTAGATATCATCTAGAATGGTGTGTGCCATTCTATCATCTATTCTATATTCTAAATATAAATATCTTTTCTATATTCTAAATGTAAATATCTATTCGATATTCTAAATATCATCTATTCTATATTCTAAATATAAATATCTATTCTATATTCTAAATATCATCTAGAATGATTTCTGTCTCTTGGACCTTTCAAAATTTATAGTTTAAAAGGTAAACGAAAGAATATGAAAATTTTTATTTATTTATTTTTTATAAATTTTTATTTTTGGATTAAAAATACTTTTTCCATTTTTTAAATATTATATTTAAAAAATGGAAAAAAGTTTTCAATGCACTTCTTCCATTTATATCTAGTTTTCATATTATTACCTCATTACTATTGCCAAACTCCAGACTTTATTTTAATCTAAGCAAAAAAGGTTCCGATTGAACAAACTTAAAACCCTAACTCTAAACCTATCCCTGATTTTGAGTTTATCAACTTACTTGCCATTTTGCGCTTGTTGTTCTAACCTCGACGGTTTTCCCACCGTAGTATGTTTTAGTTCGTTCTTTTAATAATATTTTTTTTATAGCCCTCTCATTTCTCTTTTTTACGTTTTTTTTAGTATTTAATACAACTTAGTAATACGTAAAAATACTCTTTTTTACGTTTTTTTTAGTATTTAATACAACTTAGTAATACGTAAAAATATTCTTTTTTACGTTTTTTTTAGTATTTAATACAACTTAGTAATACGTAAAAATACTCTTTTTTACGTTTTTTTTAGTATTTAATACAACTTTAATACTTGACTCAGAATAAATATCTATTTTATTTTAAAATTAAAACTTTCATTACAGGACTAATGCCCTATAAACTAAATAGAGTATGTAGAAATAATTTTATTGAGCGTACGATGCACGGGATTAGTGGCCGTTCGATACAAAAGGTAGACATTGCAATTGACACCACAATTACATTTTAAAGTCTATTTATGGAAAAATGTAACTGATATCCTTTTCAAAACCACTGGTTTTATTTAATTGTTTTAATCAATTAAGTTTCTAGTTTTTCCAATTGAAGAATTGGGAAACAACTTAAAAATTGTTGTAGAAGAAAATTATTACTTGAACAAGAAAGCAAATGAACTAAAGAAATCTTTCAAATTATTTTATGAAAAATATGAAAATATTAAAAAAAAACGAAACAGGTAATTAAGAAAAAAACACCAAACATATGTTATCATAATTAATCCAATAGCAAAAAATTAAAAGTCGATGATATTATCATAAAAAAACTGTCTGAACTCGAAGGTTACAGTTATGTAATAACGAGTTATAAGGAAAAAGCTTGAAATTAAATCTCGTAGGTTTAGTGTCAACCGTCAACTAATAAACCTAATTTTTTGATATAACGCTACCTTTCATATCAACAGGAAAAGTCGATATAAAAGTAAACAAGAATATTATTTTGTTTGCCAATCTAAAGACCTTAGGAACTTTAAACTCATCAAGAAAAAGTATGTGTACCTAATAGTATACAACCTTATTATGGGTTATTATTGTCTAAAATCAAAGATATACAATAATAGAATCTTAGTTGTTTCTCCGTTTTTGATTAGAATGAAAAATCGGGAAAACTCTGAAAAATCAAGAATTTGCTTCTAAGAAGCACATTTAACTAAGGAAACGTATCAAAACTAATCAAACGGCGGTAATGTCTATCATTTCTTTGGTTAATTTATAAAAGTAAAATAAAATATTATTGTTATTTTTATCCCTTATTTGAGATATATATTTATATTTATATATATATATTTTTTATTTATATATATATATATATATATATTTTTTTTTATACTGTTTACTTTTAATAAACTTTCGATTTATATACGTCCATGATAAAATATTTGATCAATTTTAAATAAAATATCTTGATTCAGATTTCAAAATACTGGTTCAAATGTTTGATAAGGTAGGAATCTTTATACTCAATTCCTACTGAATTCTTATTTAGTTTAGTATTGATTGGTATTGATTTCATAGTTAATGCACTAACTTTTTTGATTTTTATTTGTTCAAATTGTAAATAAAAAAAGTTTAAAAAAACTAAAACGACAAGTTGTTACTTTTTTTTTTTAAATAAAGTTAAAAAAAACCTTAAAACTAATTTTATCCTATACCCAGAAAAAATGATATCGTTCTTTCGTATTTTTTATCAATTTAAATTGTTTTAGTAAACAATTAATACATATAATATGAATTACTTCGGATTTTATAAAACTTGTATGAAAATTGCTACAGATTTTTTAGTAACCGTCAAAGAACTTCACCAATTTTTTTAAACTCGCGCAAGATTTGCCTAATATTTTTTACAACGAATTTTGTATACCCGCAGTTGTTATGTTGTGTGGTGGGTAATAGCCAGTGGTTGCTCTCTCCAGTTAGAATAAAAGCCAATGGCATTTAATTTTTTAATTAAGGAAACAATACAACAAAATAAGATAAGATAAAAGTACGACAAAGTAAGATAAGATAAAAGTAAGATTTTAATAACACCTAAAAATTTTTATTTTTACTTTTTATTTACATCGTGAATTTAAGGTTTTGTTACCTTTTAGTTTGTTTCCACATTTAATCTCTGATACATAATCCAGAAACGTGCTGTTAATACATTGACAAAATGTTAAACCTGAACAGTAATCTAGTTTTCCTGTAATAGTATCGCCATCTTCTTCACGTTGGATATAAAAACTGCATGTTTTACTGAGCGATAATATAAATACTTTAACCCAAAAAATTATTAAAAACATAAGCAACGGTATAACAAATGAAATCAAAATTGCATTTTATTTCCTTGTTGTTCTCTAAATCTTGCTTTTGTTTTTCCTTGGAAATAAAAGTTTCATTATTTTTTTTATTTTTTCATAGTTACATACGCACACGCGTACATATGAAAATGTAGAAAGCAGTGCGGATTCATTATAAGTTATTCATTAATATTTACAAACAAGAAGCCAGTATTACTAATGCATTAAAAAAGCTTTTTAAATCATAAGTTTGTTGAGATTATGTAAAAAAAAAAGTTGTGCTTTTAAAATTAGGCTTATCAATAAAAAATAATCATGTAAAATCTATAAATATAGCACTTTTTTTCCAATTACATTGGCTTGACCGAGGATAACAAGGCGTTACATTTTTTACTTGATTAATAATTAAGTTGTCTTGATTTATCAAATAGCACGATCAACATATTTGCAATGTCGAATTTAAATGCAAAAATTTTTGAAGGAAGTCTTTTGGAATTTTCTGAAAACTAATTTTCAATTTTTTTTATATAAGAAAAGGTTTTTTAGTAGTGGCACAAATTTCCACTTATTATATATGTTTTGAAATAGCGAATAACGCTTGCTTTAAAATATAAAAGAAAGTTATTGTGTAAATTTTGTGTATAGATGAATTTAATTATGCATAACTACGCATATAGCATACTTTCAATAATTCATTAATTTTAAATATCCTGAAGTCTTGATGCGTTGTACGTTGTTTTGCGTTGTAATATTTTACATTGTACTTTTTACGTTGTACTTTGTTTTACTTTGTATATTGTTTACGTTGTTCGTTGTTCTACTTTGTACGTTGAGCTACGTTGTATATTTTTTCAAAAGATTAAGCACTTCATTTTTGATAAAAAAAAACTTTTTAACAAATTGTTTGATCTTATCGTTTCTGTGTTTCAGGAACAAAACAAAATAACTAAACCATTTTTTAAAAACCCCTTTTTTGTTTTGTTTTGTGGTAAAAATTTATTTAGCTAAAAAAAAAAGTTTTTGTATGTTACATTTTGCAAACTTTGAGAGTAAATGTTCGTTTTAGTGTCATCGCATTTTATTTGTAATTGTTTTAATATTAATTTACAAAAAAATATGCTATATGGTTTTAAAATATGTCTTCTGCGAAACATCTCCAGTAAAAATGATTTTTGCTTAAGACTAAACTTAATGTTGGTACCAGTTTTCCTAAGATAATAAGAGATCAAGCACATATCCACCAGATTCAAAAATTAAATCAAGACATGTATTAGATATGTTGATAAAGTATTTTAAAACAATTCCTTGCAATATTTTTAACAAAATACTTCATAAAACTTTATAAAAAAATCACCCGACTAAAATGTGTCAAATATCCAACTATGTTCCTCAAATAATTGATTTTAAAACCTCCCCCCCCATCTACCCCTCTAGAATCACCTTTGAGTCCAATACTACTAATAATTGTATCCAATGTATCAAATTTAAACTCTTAATAATATTTGCATATAGAGATTAGCAGTTTACTCGTAATTTAAAAAATATTGCAAAGAAGAAAAGCCCCCTCATTTTGCGCGCACTTGTAAACATTTAGCTAACTCTTTTTCTTCCCAAAACTGAATACATATACGAGTGCGCCCAAACTGTATATAAGTTTATGTAGCAATTTGAAAAATATTGACAACAATAAAATGAGTGGAATTTATCTGTTATGAAGCAAATTGTAAACAAACAATAGGTCAAAGTCTTTATTTCATTATGTAGATATAAGGGATTTTATGTAAACGTGAACAACATTACAAAGTTTTGATATACAGAATAAAAACTTTATGATTTATAAATGTTCAATTAATAGGGACCTTTTGAATATTTCTAATTTAGTCACCCTTTTTTCTATGTACCTAGAAGAACGTTTATCGTTGGCTTTTTTCAAGTATAAGTTAAAATGCCAAAAAATGTTAAACAAATTATTTTAGTTTATGTAAAAGTTTTAAAAACAAAATAAAGAATTTGCAAAAAATTGTTTTTTTGATTTAATATTTGAATAAAAATAAAGCTTTTAGAAACTATGGAGTAAATCTCTTTTTGCCCAGTTTCCAGTGCTACTACTAATTAACGAATACTACTATTATGTAACAAATTTTTAGGCTTTTTTTAGAATTAGGATATAAGAGACATAAATGATAGAAAAGGTTTCTTTTAAAGTTCTCATAAAAGAGAACTTTAAAAGAAACCTTTTCTATGATCTCAGTTATTAATATAAGGAATAGTATAATATTTAAAAATGTTATACTATTCCTTAGGTTAAAAACTGCAAAATTCGTCTCAGTAATGGAAGATATAACATAATGTAAATGGAAAAAAAAAACATTATTATATATTAAAACATTATTATATATACAATATAACTCTGCTATTAGTTAAGTACTATAAAATTTAAAAATAAAAATTTCTTGCTTAGCAACATAGCCTATCTGCGATGATTGTTGCTTGCTCAGCTTGCATTGCTTGCTCAGCTTGTTTCAAATTTTTCCCGTTTTAAATCTCTTCAGTCTAAACTTTGAATTGAGTACTACATTAGTTTTACCAAGGTTCGACATGAAGTTAAAAGTAGTTTAAGTGAAAATATAAGGTTTTTTTTCCATTATATCAACTTATGTTTTAGTTTAGAGTGATAATAAAAAAATCTGCACTTTACGGCAAGCTGGTTTACACGATTCCTAAAATAAGAGTATTTGACTACGTTAAAGAGATATATTGTAAACGTCTCTATGATTTTTATATTACTCAAAAAAAAGAGTTTGTACTAATTAAAGAAGACCTTTTTTGCTTTAAATTATATCTATGCTATAATATATCTATATCTAATCCTATAATTCCATAAAAACCTCTTTTATATTATTGAAACACATTGTGTAGTTAATTTGTTTACGTGCGAGACTTACAAAATAGTTCAATTTTCTTTTTTAAATAACTTTACTCCTAATTGTTAAAATCATTAAAAAAAATTTTACATTTTCTACAAACCATTTTTCACATCTTTTTGTTCACCACTTATATTTTTTTAAAATTTTTATTTCCGTGAGAAATTATCGCACACATGCGACACATGATTACATATAAGTGACCCATGATCGCATGGCAGCGACACACGTTAATTTTCTATTATATTTAACTTTAAAAAACTTTTAACATTTCAATAGGATTTGCGTAAATTGCTATTAACGAATCGGATATCAGTACCAACCTTAATAATATTTCGAACACCTTGAAATTAAATAACATTGGTATAAAAAGTTTCAAAATAAAATGTGGTGACTTAAATATGTGGAATAACTGACTTACCGTGACCCGTATAATTATTACTGAATAAAAATATATTACTGAACATGGTAAGTCTATTCCACACATACCATTTAAATAATTTCGTTTTATTTTAATAATTTTTAAAAAAGACCAAAGTATAAAAATCTTTGTTTTGAGTTAACGATTAACTTTCAATACTTTACAACTTCTGTAAATTTTCATGTATGTATATATATATATATATATATATATATATATATATATATATATATATATATATATATATATATATATATTATATATATATATATATATATATATATATATATATAATGGCCCTGCCAATTGGCAGTTTTTGTTTCGAATCGAATCTCGAATCAAAGCAGGTCTTGATTCGCAATTCGAATCACGTTTCGAATCGATATTTTGAAGTCTAAATTTAAGCATTTTTTATTTAATAATATATATATCAAAATGAAATAAAAAAAAACAATTGTATAATTTCTTTATTGATGCTTCTTGCCTTGGTTAACCTTTTTAATAACTGATTAAAAAGGTATTTAAAGATAAGTAACGTTATTTTGGTAGTGCCAAAGCGCAGAATATCTAAAATACCTACAACAAAAACAAAATAAATAAGGATTCGAATTTTTGAAAATTTTCGAATCGTATCTTGAATCATATTTTTGATTCCATTCGATTCGAAATTTTCGAAGCTTCGCAGGGCCCTATTATATATATATATATATATATATATATATATATATATATATATATATATATATATATATATATATATATATATATATATATATATATATATATATATATAACGAGGACGGACCTTATAATTTTTTTTATAATAAATTTCTATAAGCTTTTTTTTTAGCCATCAACAGCTTATTTCATTGATCATCAAGGTTATTTTATAAATTTGCGGAAAATTGTTTGGTTAAAATATCGTATTATATTTTCCTCTTAGATTTGCTTTTAGCTGAGTTGCTAATTTTAGTATAAGTGATGAGTGTAAAAGCTTAAAAAAAAAAATATTACAAAAATGTATTTGTAAACTTGTATAGAAAAGGTTTCGGCTATCGGGAAAAACTAAAAGTTGAGAAAAATTCGAATAAAGATCCCTGTTATTAGGACTCTTGCCCTGTTAATTTTAAAGAAAAGTAAAGTTTTCATGTAAAATCCTTTTTCTATAAAAAAGAAAGTTTTCTTTAATGCGCACACTTAATCTATTACTAGGCACATTAAACCTTATACTCTAACGTGACAAACGCGCGCAACAAACTTCGAACGGTGTTTTCGTGTTTTTAAAAATTTCAAAAAAGCTTTTTAAAAAATTTTCTCCCTTTCCCCAGTGGGCAACGAATTAAAAAAACACGTCTTGTGAACGTTCAAAAAACGTCCGAAACGTTCAAAAGACGTCCAAAAAGTCTATCAGACGTTTAAAAAAAGCCTTTTTTACGTCCGTGCCCACTGGGTTGTTTGTTATAGTATATCTTTATATATGATATGCATATGATTTTCATAGACCTTTAAAATTGCTTTACTTTGATAAAAAAATTAAGTGTGAAAACGAAAAGATTTAGACCCACGCGAATTACTTCAACCACTTTGGCATGCTAGAATATTATCTTTTAACACTGTTTAATAATGTAAAGACTTATCGAACTTTATAAAACGGAATTAAATTGTTTATAAACCTTTATAAAACATTATAAAACGGCCATTAATGCTTTATAAAAATTCATATAAATCAAAATTAAGAAAATATCGCCCAAATAAAACTTTCAAGTAAAGGTAAATGTATAACATTTAATATTATTTTTAATAATTTATATAATTTGATGTT